CCGGGGAGACCCCTGTTAAATAAATTTTTTAATGATGTTTTGTGCATGTTGGTTTATAGAGACCTCTTTTAGTCTGCCAGTTAAAGTTAATGTTGAAAATAGCCGTGAATATTTCAAAGACCATTAGGTGAATTTGACATTTTAAATTATTTTATTTTCTGATTTGTATATATTAATGTAGTCATATAAATTCTTTAATTTATATAAATGTATAAATAAAGTGAAAGTCACTTGTAATTCCACACCATAGAAATACTTGAAGACATTTTCCCTCTCATTTCTATGTTTATAGTCTATATTTTGTTTTAAAATTAGTCTTCTAAAATTTGAGTTTAACTTTTACTTAGTATCACACTGCTTAGAGATATCTTGGTTCTACTGTTGTTTCCTAATTTAGATTGCTTCCAAGTGTTCAGAACTTGAACATTTAAATTTTGTGTAGCTGTCACTTAGGAAGTTATAAAACATTAATTGCAGCTTTTTCCAAAATCTAAACTTCACCCATTGTTTTGAGGAAGTTGTACGTCAATCTCACAAACCAGTTATGGCTCCTGGCAAGTCCCAGGATTCAGACACATCCTGGAGGGAGCCGCTTCAGATATTCTACAGTGGAGGGGAACTTCCAGGCCTAGGAGAGAAAGAAATGATACATAGTTTAGTCATCATGTGTCTGGGTAATTAAATTACAGTTCAAAAGAAGAAAAAGATAAACACGGTGAGGTAGCCACTTTTAAAGAGTAGACAAATTCCCTGTGGGGATGCTTCCTCCTCCCTGCTCTTTCTACCTCCCCTCTTTGATGGTGGGTTGGTAGCAGTTTAATCGAACTGTCACTATGTACTTATGCACCACTTTGTTGCACTACCCACCTCCCAATACCATGTGGAGCTTAATCATAAACCAGGGTTGATTTTCCCCCCCTAAAGATTGACCTTTTTTATTTTAACTTTTCAAAATCCTGTAAACCCTCATTACCCAGCTACAGCAACCATTAACATATTGTCATCTGTTTTTACTTACCCTGATCCCTCTTTTGAACCTAGACAGACTCAATACCCAGTGTTTGTAGACAAACATGAGAAACCTGGATAACAAATTTGATACAAAAACATCTAGAATGAAAGTCATGATAAAAATAATTTAAATAGCAGAAACATACAGGATAACAAAATCCAGATAGTTTTGAAAAGTATAAAATAGAAAATAAAGTGAAGGCATTTTCATCCCCAGCCAACCAAACTTATCCAGACTGACAACTTTTCAATTAAACTTTTTATTCTGTAATCATTGTAGATCATATTTAGTTGTTAGAAATAATGCAGAGAGATATAAACCCTTTGCTTAGTTTCCCCCGGTGATAATATCTTGTGAAACTGTATTATAATATCACAAGCAGGATATTAATGTTGATACACAAAATAGGGAGCTTGAACTGACAGTTTTTAAATAACTTGTCTTTTTTCAGTGACTGATAAAGTCTGGCTGTGAGACTGATAAAGTCATGGAGTCCAAGCTTCTGTATTGGCTCCCCTTGGCTTGCATATGCCTTATTCAGTCATGATCCTGGAGGCACTTTCTCTCCTGAGGAATTTTTCATTTTCCTCTTAGGCATATTTGAAGTCCTTTTTGTCCCCTCCAGGTTTATGGAGATATAACTGACATATGACAACGTGCAAGCTTAAGGTGTACAATGTGTTGAGTTGATGTCCTGAATATATTGTGAAATTATTACTACTTAGTGTTAGCCAACACCTCCATCACCTCAGATAATTACCATTTCTTTCTTGTGGTGAGAACGTTTAGGATCTACTCTCTCAGCAACTTTCAAGTATATAATAGAGTAGTGTGACTATATCTAGTCCTTTGAAATCATCAAAACTGTGGAAGAATAACAGAGTAAAAATTCCTGATCTAGCTAATACCTGTGGGATTATTTTTTATACTCATGCTTGCCACAGAAAACTAGACTCTCCTACCATAGGCAAGAGTGAAATTATAACTTCTGATGACAAACTGTTTCTCAATAAATTAAGACAGTAATTCCTTTCAATTCTTTGGGCAGAACAAAAAGACTTTCATTCTGATTGTTAATGGAAAAGTAAATTTTTTCCGAGACATCTCAGATCCTGCGTACAAATGAATGATAGGAGTGTTGAAGACTTAAAGTTGCTTATGTTCTTCCAGTATCACTGGGTCAAATGAGTTTTCTCTTCGGCTTTAGAGTAAGATTAGAAAGAAGTATAATTATAGAGTTGAATAAAAATGACCTCTAGAATTGTCTGACATGGCACTTAAAGACATTTTAGAATGCAATAACCATGTATAGGTTGGCTCACATAATTAATTGCACCTCATTTTATATTTAGCTGTGTTACTGGAACAGGTTTCTTTTATTAAAGCAGAATCTCACAATACTAAGTGAAGTCATTTAAGTGTTTGGTAATATCTTTGTGGCTCAGAGAAAGTTAATTGTATATTGTTTGTACACTACTTACCTTGGGCTGTCCTATCAGTGCTCAAAATGACAAAGACCTGGCAGGGAAGAAGGGCATTTTTTTCCTTTAGAGGGGCAGCTGCCATTCACTCACCCTTTGAGAATGCCTGTTCAGATAGTTGCTATGACTTCCAGTTTTCAAAATAAAATATTGTAAATTGGATTTTTTTTATTAATGCCGTTAGGGGCAGGCAGATAATTGAGATTCTAATCAAAACTGTGCACTGTGCACAATTTGATTCTATGTAGTCTATTTTCATTTAATTCTCAACAGTTTTTGTTCTTGCTGCCTGAAAGCCAAGGAGTATAGCTATCACGTCAGATTTAACAATCACTGTAAAACCTTTGCCTTCAAACCTGATTGTTTTCTGGGTTTCTATTTCTTTTTTTCCTTTTAAGATTTATTTACTTTTGTATACAAGCTCTGGAGTGTAGGCCAGAGGTGTGGAGTGGTGAGAGGATTCACCAGAGACAGAGTGGGGAGCAGAACAGGTGGATTCACTGAAACACGCTGAGGGGAGCAGCTGGTGAGACAGGCGAGGTCTGCTGCGCCATGTGAGTGGGGATCAAACTCCATGCTGCAGTGGCTGCAGATAGCTTCATAGTGCTGAGACTTAACCCCTTGCGCCACCAGGGAGGCCCCTGGGCTTCCCTTTCTATCTAGATTAGTGTCAGTTTTCCAGTCAGTAGACTCAAAAACTCAGGGTGTTTTTTTCCCCCTCCTCTTGTCTAGCTAAAACCTGAGTATTAGCTAGCCAAAACCTGAGTCTGGGTTTTTCCTTATGAATTTCCCACATTATTTTCTTTCCCTTACTTCCTATTCCAGCTATTCTATTCCTAGGCCTTACACTGTCCTGATTCAAATTCTTCGCATTCAAGTTTCAAATATCTCTTTCATTATCTCCTTTTCAAAAAACAAGCTCCTCCCCTCACCCTGCACCCCCAGCCCTGGGCCTGTATTGCCCAGCATATAAATTCCACAACTTCAGCGAAAATCTCTAGGTTTCCTAGTAGTTTTATTTTCAGCCGTCTAGCTATATTTCTCCCTAGTATTCTCTAATCCATTACATCTTACAGTCAACTCTCACCCCTACTCCAGCCTCTTCACCAAGGCCGCTGGGAATCTGGTGGGCACTTCTGGATAATAGGTGATTACTTTCTTTAGCCCTTGTTTGCTGAGATGTGTAGATTCTGTGGTTCTCTGCTTCCACTCTTTTTATTTTATTTTTTTAACCTTTTGGCCTAGACCTTCATAATCATTTAGACAGCAAGTCTCAGGGCAAGAAGGAGGCAGAATAAAGGCAGATCCCAGGTGAATCCTACTCTAGCAAGCAAAGAAGCTGAAGGAGGGGGAAAGCTGCCTTGGCTTCAGGTTCTGATGACTCCCAAGTTGGAGCTTCTCTGTGGGGGATGTAGGGGACAAAAGACTTTCTTTCTCTACCTCAGAGATTTCCTTCTCAAGCAGATTTCTACTTTCCCTCTCTCCAACTAATGCTGGAAGTTCTGCCTAGTTTATGTAAAGCCGTGCTGACCACAGGCCTTTTGTAAGCTAAATGGCCTGCATGTTCGTATACCATGCAGCTCACCCCGTGGGCTTGCCATTAGATATTTGTGTGGTTAACTTGGTCACTTTATTCTACAAGAGCCCCTTGTTGGTCATTTGGTAATTTTCCCTATTCAGAAAAGCCTAAAGGATATTTCTTGTTTTAATGAAGTACTGATAATTCACTGAAATAGATTCTTGCTTTCCTCTGCACTTGAAGCTTCTGATCCAGCACATAGTGCCTCGCATCTTGCGTGATTTGCTGCCACTTTTCCCTGAGTTCTAGGAAGCAATTGTGGCTGCTTTTATGTATCTCCAATGGTTTACTGTCTGCTATGTAGCAAGCAGTCAATACAATAGATTCTTGTTCGCTAATGGTATATTCTGAGTCTGTCAGGAAACTTTAATCTGTGACTATGATTTCTGAGAAATGGTTGTCAGTACCCAGCTAAATGACATGCTTTTAGACAAAGTTCTTTCAGCTAAAGCCTCAGATTCTATCAGGACCATTTTGCATACACTGTTTCACTTAATCAGTATAATAATCCTCTGAAGTGAGTAATTTTTTGTAATTGCTATAAGGCATTGGCTTTTAGGGGATTGTTTGCCAATTGGTAAAACCACAAAAGGCAAATCTGTAAATACCAAGAGCCTACTGTGCTATAATGTGGATTGGTAGCTGGATAGGTGATTAGAAAAAGTCATATGATTAAATGATGTGCTTACTACGGGCTTTCCATTCTAATGTATGCAAGATTTTGATGAACAATGTTTAGACGATTAACCTGGGAGTCAAGTTGAAATAACCTGAAACAATGGATGCTCTTTAATAATTTAATCATTTTTTAAAGTTTTTCCCCATCTCTCCAAAGAATGGATAAAATACATGATTTGCAGATTGTGGTAGACTCTCCAGTCCTAGTGAGAACTAATTTCACTTATTTACTTTTTACCTTCTTTAACAGGTGATGGCTGTGGGCACATAGTGGCTTATCAGGACAGTGGCACAATGACTTCCAAGAATTATCCAGGGACTTATCCCAATCACACAGTTTGTGAAAGGACTATCACAGTACCAAAGGGGAAGAGATTGATTCTGAAGTTGGGAGATTTGGATATTGAATCCCCGCAGACCTGTGCTTCTGACTATCTTCTCTTCACCAGCTCTTCTAAACAGTATGGTAAGAAAAGAGATCTGGGTTTCTATGAGCATGAGAAACTTGTAATTTGGGGAGAAGGGCAACTCGTGTGTTAATTAGTACTAGAGCCTAGGAAGATTAGAAGAGAAACTTGGTGTTTGTAAACTCTCAGGGTAGCTCACATGGATACATTTACTTCTTAATGACAAAGACATCTAAGTAGATGTTAGTGTTAGCCCTGTGTGAGTCTCAGGAGCTTTGTTTGGGTTTGTGTCTTGCTGGGAATAGAACTGGAGATATATGGCATCTGGCTAAAACATCAAGAGTTCATTCATTTGTGTGACATTTATTTATTGAATAGAGATTCAAGTACTCTGCAAAGAGCTGGATGGGATATAACCACAAAAAAGGCAAAGTTCCTTCTTTCATGGAGCTTACATTGGTGGGGAAGGGAAGTAAAGAAGGAGGGGGGAGAAAAGTAAGCAAATGCATCTATACTATGAGAAGTAATGAGAAAGAAAAATGAGGCACCCGAAAGTATATAGAGGCTGTTTTTTTTTTTTTTTTAACGCATTTGTACAGCTTCAGCTGCAATGATCAGGAAGACGTTTCCAGTAAGGGGACATTGAGCAGAGCACCTGAATGAGGTGATGGAATGAGCCATGCTCTTATATCTAGGCTCAGAGTTTTCTAGGTAAGGGAACAATTGCAAAGACAGTTTCCAGAATAACCTTGAAATTAAGTTTTTGTGCTTGGGGGATATATCGTTAGCATATCGGATCCTGAAATTGCCAGCCCTATAATTATAGTCACCCTCCAGGCCTAAATCCAAGGAAAGAACTTGGGTTTAGACAAATTGAAAACAAACACAAAATCTTATACACACATTCTTTTGAGTGTAAAACTCCAAAAAGGATAAAGTTTTTAGATACAATCTGGTCTACCTTCAAGTTCTATAGGCAATTTCTCAAATACATGTGGCATCCAGGCCATCTTTACCTTTGTACCTAAAGTTTAGTCACTGAAGCAGGTGCTTCCTGCCAGTGCTGCTTCCTCCCACCTCAGAAGTTTCCAAAGTATCCCTGAGGCTGATATGTCCTCCATATTTCTAAAGTTTTGAGTTTTTGTTCAGGACCTAGACTCTTCACTTGGAAATGATTTATGAATTACAATTCACTTTTAACAATAAAGCCTTGAAATCTAATTTTTCTCTTTAATTTTTTAAATATCGTCATGTTATTCTTTTAAAAATAGAATATAAACTTATTATAGACATAAACATATTCATTGTCCATTATATCCAGGTATATACTTGGCCCTTTTATAGATTTTCTGGAACCCTTGCTTCATCCTGCAAGGTAAATGTTATATTATCTCCTTTCTACAAATGGGAAAGCAGAGGCACAGTGAGTTTTGAGTAGCATGCCAAAGATCACACAGCTAATTAAGGACTGAAAGGAAGATTTATATCTATGTTTTTGTGACTCTAAGTCTGTCTGCTTTTCACTCCTGGTCCCACCACCTAAAGAAAACCATAGTGAATTATTACCCTTTGCAGATGAACCAACCCAATATTACATAATACAGCAATTTTCTCTAAAGTGCAGGTGTGGTTAATATTTTTGTTTGGAAATGTTCTTAAGATAAAACATTTAATGATGCTCAGAATTCTTTTGTGGCTGCTTTAGTGATTTTCTTATCAGTCACACTAAGGTAAATCCAGTAGACAAAGATAAATGAAATTATAAAAAAAAGGTACAAAGAAAGGAAATTGGAATATTTCAATTCTATAAACTTATTTAAAAACAATTAAATGGCTTAGGGTCACATAGAAAATATACACTTACATTTATGATTTATCAGTTTTGTGTCTTTTGTAGTTATAAAATTGTTCTAGGAGGAGCTGCTTGTGTACTTACAATGCTTAATTCAGTGGCTTGAATGTAGTAGAAACTCAGTAAATTTTTTTTTAAAGATTTATTTATGCATACAAGAGCTAGGGTACAGGCCAGAGATGCGGGGGCGGGGGGGGGGATGAGAGGATTTACCAGAGACAGAGTGGGGAACAGAACAGGCAGATTGACTGATGTACACTGCTGAGGGGAGCAGCGGGCAAGTCAAGAGAGGTGTGCTGCGCGATGTGGGTTGTTCCCTGGCCGGCCAGGGATTGAACTCGTGCTACAGAGGCTGAGAATTGCTTCATAGTGTTGTGCTTAACCCCTTGCACCACCAGGGAGCCCTGAAACTCAGTAAATTAATGTTGTTTTTTTGTTTTATTTTATATATTTTTTTACATCATTTTTCATTTTTGCACAATGTATGCATTTTCATCTTGGTTATATTCCCATACAATTCCCACCCCCCCTTATTTTGACCCTAATCCTTCCTCCCTTCCCCACCCCCATAGTGTGTCTCTGGTTTACAGTTGCTTGTTGATTTTGGTCTTTATTATAATTAGTCTTTCCTGGTCCCTTATTTAGGTTTTCTAAATTCCTGCTATGATTGAGACCATTCGGTATTTTTCTTTTTCTTTCTGGCTTATTTCACTAAGCATGATCCCTTCTAGCTCCATCCATGTTGCTGCAAATTGCATGAGTTTATCTTTTTTTTTTTTTAAGGATTTTTTTATTTATTCATTTACACAAGAACCAGGGTACAGGCCAGATGCACAGGCAGGTGAGAGGATTCACCAGAGACAGAGCGGGGAACAGAACAGGCAGACTGATGAAATACACTGTGAGGGGAGCAGTGGGTATGACAGGAGAGGTCTGCTGTGCCATATGGGACCCTTGTCTGCCAGCTGGGATCAAACCTGCACTGCAGAGGCAGCGGACAGCTTCACAGCGCGGTACTCAACCGCCTGCACCACCAGGGGAGACCCAAGTTTATCTTTTGTGATTGCTGAGTAATATTCCATTGTGTATATAAACCACATCTTCTTGATCCAGTCATATATTTTTGGGCATTTGGGTTGTTTCCATAGCTTACCTTTGTATTGTTGTTTTTTTTTTTTTTTTTTAAGTGATGGCAATGAGTTCATTGTCAAGGAAACTGTCAAGTAGAATATATTATAGTTGCTTACTTGGAATATTAAACAGCTATTTGTTTAAATGACTGTAAACACAGAAAGCTGTTTATGATATTGAGTTAGGTAAGGTATAAATATAATGTTATATCAATAGAAAACAAGCCTTTGAACAAAATAAAATGGAACATAAATATAGCAAAATGTTAAAATGGGACTTTAGGTTTGACTATGGGTTTGTTGTGTGTTCTCTCTATGTTCTACTTTTTAAATTTTTTTTTTAAAGATTTATTTATTTATACATGCAAGAACTGGGGTACAGGCCAGAGGTGTGGGGGTTGGTGAGAGAATCTACCAGAGACAGAGTGGGGAACAGAACAAGGGATTGACTGAAATACACTGCTGAGCGGAGCAAGCAGGAGAGTCAGGAGAGGTCTGCTGCACCATGTGGGTTAGCTCTTTGGCTGGGGTTCGAACTTGTGCTTCAGTGGCTACAGTTAGCTTCATAGGTTACATCTTAACCCCTTGCGCCACCAGGGAGGCCCTATTCTATTTTTTTAAATAAAAGTATATTTTAATAAAAAACAAATAACTATCTTTTAGACCTGTATTTTAATTTAGTTAAAGTAGTTTCCTGGTCAGTTTGACCTTTCCCCAGGAGTGCAGGCATCTGCAGGAAGGGGTTGGAGACAGAAGTGTTTTGCCTTCCTGTGGCCTATGCTGGGAATGGACAAGTCTGGGGGGCTGTTGCCTGGTCCTGCAGGGTGGGAGCCCCATATGCTGCCAGTGTGGCCATAGGAACATGACAAGGGCTGGCTCAAGCTCAGGGACCCAGGGGTCTACAGCATGATTGTGTGGGTAGGTGGTAGAGGGGAACACCTGCTGAAGTATAGCAGAGAGGAGTGTATGTTCTGGAATACTCTTGAAAGTCCATCTCTGATGGTGCTAACGATCACATATGTGACATCAACACCTGAGTTATCGTCATATATCCAGCTCAATTTTTTTTCATCAACTAATTAATGGATAAAAACCATTGCCAAGAGATTTTAAAGACCAAACACCATCCAACTTTTGAACATGGAGTTAATGTTCTGAGAAAGAATAATGTTTTCTGGCATCAGTGTTGGTCAGCTCTGCCAAGTGTGGATGTACCTAGAGTGTGACTGCATTAACCATCATGAAGATGTTAGAGTTGTATAGTTTGAATCATTATATGGCTCACTTGGATGGTTGCCCCCCATGCCAATTTTTTTTTAAATGTTTGGTTCATATTCGGTGTTTAATCATCCACATTTGTGGTAGCGAAATGCACTGTAAACAAGTAGCCAGGCAAAATATGCATTTGAGTTCATTGTTGTCAAAAAGCCTGATACAGGTAAGATGGGATCATTCTTCTGTTTGTTTTGCTCTATAATTATCGCCAATATTTTAAATTTAAGCATCAGTTAGAAGGATAAACAATAATCTGTGTCTGAAATGAGACCACTTTTCTTTGAAATACCCTGAAATAGCCAGGAAGAAACAAAGTTGATAAAGTACTTACTTTAGAAAATACAGGTTTTTTTTTAAGAATAAAATATATAAGATATTTTAAACACAAATTTTACTTTTAAACTTCTAAACATCTTTGGATATAGGATAGATAAGAGCTTTCAAGGTCATGTGTGCCAATATCCTGACCCTCAAAATGTTTAAGAAGTATCATATTTTGCTTAGTAGAGATTGTTTTCCATCTAAGGGATTGCTGTTTTTGTTTTGAGAGACCAAAGTAACTGAGGCTCCTTTCAAAAGAAACACATCTCTTTTTCAGTCTCAGATCTAGTCCAGGATCACAAAACATTTAGTTGGTTTCCCTTCACTGGGGTAGTTCATTATTAGACTCTCGTTATTTCTTACACAGTTTTGAAGAGTACTAGCTAATACTTTGGATAATGGCTGTTGATTTGGGTTGATTTGCTATTCCCTCATGATTAAATTTAGATTATGCATTTTTGGCAAACATAACATTATCCCT